GAACTAGGTCAGGCTGGGCTGGCTCCAGCTGCGCCAGCAATCCTTTGTCCCTTCCCGCCTCTGCCTGTTTTTATCTGAGTTTCCACTCTCAGACGGAGGACGGGCAGGGGAATAGCCCCAAAGCTAGGCAGGAGTTTCTGGTTGGGGGCTGGGGTGGATGTAGCAGGGCTGGGCGCGCCTTGCTGCCACCGTCACTAGGTCCTACCATCGCTGGTTCCTCCTACTGCTGGTGCCTCATCAGCTTTTAGATAGGCAGCCACCGGCAGGTAATAATTTTCTAAATTTTAGAGGGGCCCTGTGGTCTGCATAGAATGGCCTGGTGGGCCAGATTCAGCCTGCGGGCCGTATTTTGCTCACCCCTGAGATATAACGACCAACCGTGCATAGTTGAATGTAATTGCTCTTCCTCCTTCCTAATAAACAGCCTGTAGAAAACCATTTAAACTAGATTGGCAGTTCATTTTCTTTCTGGCATACTTGACAGATACTGAATTAGCATTCTGTGTTTTATAACTCTTGGAGGATAATAGCAGATTATGTGAGGTTTTACCACAGATGTAGATAAGGTTTTGTGTAGAGAATGCTGTATTTCTTAATAGTATCACTAGAAATGTTTAGAAACAGTTAATTAAGAACTGTCCTAAAAGTAGTGGAATCTGTAATTAATACTATTTTTGTATCTTTACACAGTGAATCTCTTCCTAACTGGGAAAATAGAAAGTGCTGTTACCTCGTTAGGTAAGACATGTTTCTCTTATTTCTACTAAGCACCGGAATGTCTTGCTCTTTTCATGGTGTTGTATGTTACCCCATACAGATCACGTTCTTGCTGAAACTGGATGACCTCAAAGCTTACTAGTGGATTATTAGGAAGTTTCCCAGTTTGAGATATTGAAATATTTATATGATTATGGTATTCCACCAGAACCGTTGTCACTATCCCAGATATACTGGCAGGTAGCTCAGTTGGAACTGATATTTATAACTGCCCAGACAATAGTAATATTATTACTTACTTTTATTCTTGCAACACCCTCAGGTCCTAATAAGGATAAAGGCACATTGTAGTAGGTGGAAATAGGTCTGGACCAAAGAGCTCCCAGTTAAATTTGAATTAAAACACTGTAATCAAGGGTGACAAACAATAGGAGGAACTGAGAAAGAAGGAGGCTAAAGAAATGACAAGATAACATGTTTGTGTGTGTTATTTCTTTAGTGCTTGGTGCCTTCAAATCAAGTGGGGATTGAGATAGGATTTATAACTGGTCAGGATAGGGGCCTGTGCCCAGGGCAAGTATATGTGAAATGTCCAGTACTAGAGCACCATTTTCAAATGTTTTGGAGCAAGTCTGACCTTTAGTCAATATTTTGTTGGGATGATTTGCTGGCTGTTGCTAGAATTTGTCATTGCATTGTCTATGGTATGTAAAATGACACATTACTCAGTTCAGAATTGCCATTTGTCAACAGTTTAGTTTAAGGAATCTTGAACACTAAGATTGATTTTGTTTAAGAATGCGGATTTTGGTTAGGAACAGGAAGACTTAGATAGGATTTTTTTTATTTTGTTTTTTTTTCAGTTGCAAGTTTTCTCTGGAAAATTGAGATACTCCAGCTATGAAACATTCTGGGCTTGTAATCTTGGGTTATTCTGTCTTTTGGCAATGCAGTTTGGATGGAGGAAAGTAAACAGAGAGGATTATTGCAGTGGTGTAAACCAGCACCCCTGGTTTTCCTGAGTGTTGCAGGGAGGGCAGAGAAGACTAGTACATCTCTAGAGCGGATGACCATGTCAAAAGAATGGCACAAACAGGCCCCTGAAGGATTTATGGGTTCACTGTTTGTGGGGATTCATATTAATGTTGTTCTCCAAAGGCAGAAACTCCATTGCGGGTGGGAGGAATGCAGCTGATATCTGCTTCCAAATATGACCCAAAAACGGGAAGCATCTTTGAAGTGCTTTCTTTTGAAACACTTTCTGAAAATCTGTATGCTCCAGCATCTTAAAGTACTCCTGCCCCCTCCCTGCTCCTGCCTCCCACTCACAAAGCAGTGTGGCCAACCCTCTCCTATGTGCTTGCTTGCTCTCAGAACCTCCTGTCTGGAGGCCTAGAGGCATGTAGGGATTCCTGCTCTCCATCCCATAGAATGGTAAATCTAGGTTTATTGCAATAATCCTTGATTTACCATGCTATAGGATATATTGCATAACTTGGGTAATCCTATATGCAGGAAATGCAGTTTTTTATGAGCTGTTCTCACTCTTGCTCTGAATTTGCTTAGATGAAATGAGGAAAAACAACTGTTGAACAGTTGTTTGAAAGTCACTGTCTTTCTGATGCAGTACTACTGATAACACCTGGAGAGCTGTCCAGGGTTATGTCTTTCCATTGAGAAGCGTCTTTTTCACTTGGATGTTACGGCCGTTTGAAAATGCTTTTTCGCTTGTTTTTCTTTAGAGTCGTGGTGTTGTGCTGAAGCAAGCTTTAAAACTACAGTTCTTTACCCAGACTTTATTATAGTGTACTGAACTCTTTCTGAATACATCTTTGCTGTTTTATATGCTGTAATTGCTTATCTGTCAGCCTGATCCAAAGCCAGTTAAAGTCAATGGAAGTTCTTCTGTTGACATAAGTGCTCTTCCCAACAGGCTGTATAAACAGTCATCAAGGGCTGCTATGGTTCCAGTCTGCCTCTTCCTGAATGGGAGACTATTCTTGCAGACCTGAGATGATATCTGTTATCACTGTGAAATTGAGGCTACACTAATTATGTCATTTTTTGTTCCACATCACAGTATGTAGATGAATAATCAGCACATGATGTGGCTTGTTCAAGTGCCAGGTTGTCCTTAGCTCCCCAGTGTCTCTCCCTGAAGTTGCGTGTCACAGAGAAAGTCCCTAGCCTCTACAAGATGTGTGAATTTAGGTTCAATGCAACTGCAAACTTAAAAACATTTGATGTGCCTGTGACTGACCTATTTTCTGGTTTGTTTCCAACATTTAGGCTTGTTAATATAAAAATAGATTTTAAAAACGTTGTTTATCCAAAAAAGAAAGTTGAAGAATAGCTGCTCAGAAAACAGACCCTGAACAGCTCCCCACGTATAAATAGGTCCCTACTATCATGGAGGAGTTAGTGTACTGTGCATAAGGAAGAAAGAGGCGGAGTCTTCTGTTGACTTATAAATACCATGGTAATGAGCAGTGATCTTGGCTTTCTCTGTTTTAAAATCCCAAATTCTCTGATAAAAAAATCCAAAATTGTGTGGTTAAAAACTTCAAAATCCTAATTTTCCTGCAATTAAAATGAACTTTCTCTCTCTCTTGGTATTAGTTGAACACAATGTTTTATTGATATATTTACAATTTTAGAGCAGTTTGGAAGCCTACCAGTGCCTCAATCATTATAATAAAATACATTTTAAATACCTATATATTTTGGCTTTTGATTTATTTTTTGTGGGGGGCTTATATCATGCCCCTTTGCTCACTAGGACACAAGCCCAGGTGTGGCTGTCCCTACTGCTGCTTTGTGGTGCTGGGCAGCCCTGATATGCCGGTGCCCCTTACTCCCAACCTGCAGCCCCCCATCCCCTTCAGGGCCCCTCACTCCCGACCCGCATCTCCCAACCTCCTTCAGTCCTGCTAGTGCCCCTCACTGCCAACCTGCTGGCCCCAATCTCCAGGCCCTAGCCCCCCCAGTGTGTGGGGTGGGTGGTGTGTAGGGCAGGGAGATGCCCGGCCATAGGTGACGCGTTGGGAGAGTCTTGGGAGGGCCTATGCCCTCCCAGATTAGTGCACCCACAGCTGGGCATGGGGCTGCAGCCTGGCTGGACTGGCACCAGCCCAGTGGGTGGAACCCCGTGCAGGAGGGCAGAGCAGGGCGGCAAGACTCGCTGCTGCTGCTGCCGCTGCTGCCACCAGGACATGCATGTGAGCCGCACCACCACGGAGTAACGCCGTGCTGCCAGCAGCATGAGGAGTAACAGACTAGCGGGCGGCTGTGCTACCATCAGCTCATCCTGCTGCCAGCTTCTGGTATACAGGGCTGTGGCTTTAACCTGGAGGGGAGGAAGGGTAGGGGGCAGCATGGGTGGCCTAAGGGGAGTGGTGGGTGGTCTAAGGGGAGCGGCTGGGCCGTGGCGGCAGGGTAGAGCTGTGGCTTAGTGTGTGCGGCTGGTGACAGGAGGAGGTGAGGGTAGCTTGCCACCACCCTTCCCTGGTTCATTACTCCTTGCGCTGCTGGCAGCATGGTGTTACTCCATGGTGGTATAGCTGGTGTGGGGGTACCTGCGGCAGTGATGGTGGCAGCAGCAGTGGCAAGTCACGCTGTCCCACTCCGCCGTCTTGCATCAGGTCCTGCCCGCTGGGCCGCAGAGGCAGTCCGATGCTGGTCCTGTCATGCTGCAGCCCCATGCCCCGCTGTGGGCACACAAATCTGGGGGGCATGTGCCCCCTTATGTCCCCTTAATGTGTCACCTATGGTGTCTGACCCCTCCCCTATGTGCGCATACATGCATGTGTCATCCCCTGCATCTAATCGGCCTCCTCCCACTCCCCCCACCCCCAAGCAGCCTTTGCAGACTGGAGCTCTGCCAGCTTGTAAGGGGAAACCTGTGGTTTCCCACATTTTTCTTCAACAAACGGAAAACCTGGATCCCTGAATATGATGTAACTTGCACCAGTCATTGTATTGTATAAATTATCTAAAAGGGTGAAGCTTTCTCTTTTCTCTTTTCATCTATTTCTGATCACATACTTGAGATGCAAATCAAATGTCTAGTTAACATAATTAGTTGTAGGCTCTCTTTTCGAGTGATGCTGAGGTGCAGAATTAACAAGTAGTAGTTTACATTAAAAATATTACATTTCATTTCACATCAAATATACTTCATTAGCACTCTGAAGAGGAAAAGACTGAAAAGTAGCTGTTGCTCAGGATTGCTGTAATATAACTGCTTTGGATAATGTTCCATCATAAAATTACAGAAACTCAGTATTTATAAGTATTGATGACTGGGTAAGTATTGTGATGTCAGCTAGGCAAAGGGTCACTGGCATGTCCACATATTTTTTTTCAAAACGAGGCCTGAATAAGCTTTGGATAATCAAGATCTGTACGTTGAAGTTTTCTGCAGCACTAGCATATGCAAAATCAACAGCATATGCAAAATCAACAGCGGGCATGAATGAAAATAATTAGTACGTGGACAATAGGAAAGTGTGTTTTACTGTTGGTAAAAGGCTCGGCACAAAGTGGCATGCGGAGGTGTCTTCCGTCTGCACTGTTTCTTTCTTCAGTGTCCTGAGGGCCCTAATATTGTGAAGTTTTAGTTTGCAGCAGTAAAGAGATATTCTTTATTATGTGAAGTCCCGTAAAGCCTTTTTAGCTCTGGGTCCCCTTATGCTGCAGTGATGCAATTAAGCAGCAAGGAGCACATATAAAGAAGAATACGTATAAAAGTCCAAGTACAGTCTGGAGCATTATGTATAATGAGAGAACTGGGGAGTTATGCTGGGAAAATGTTTTGGATCTTATTTTTATTAAAGTTGCTCCCATTGTCTCAGTATTCTGGCAGTGATCAATCACAGAGGGATTTGGGGCATTTTTAATTTTAGAAATATAAACGGTGGAGATTTTCATGTTACAACATCAATTTTTGTATTTATCTTGTAAAACTAATTAAAATAATGATACTAGAGCTGTCTGTATATCTTTTTGTATTCTGTAAATTATTGTTGCCATTGAATCACCAGAAGTTTTGCACATATAATACAACTGAAAGCTTTTTTACAGGGTGACAGTACTGTTTTTATGTTTTATACCTGAGGTAAGCTAGCCTTGTAAATCTTCTTGTAACCCTTGGCCCGCATTTAACATACAGTAAAGAGTGCTTCCTCTGAACTAACCTGTATAGTATGAATTTAATAATAACAACTTTGTGGTGTTCAATTTTCTACAAAGATCTGTTAGTCCATGATTTATAGCACAGTATATATTGAATCTATGGGTGCATGAAGAAATCCATGTTTTGGGGAATCTGTTTTTCTCCTGTTATCACTGCTTAAATTATGAGAAATTTGGCTTCTGTCAAAATGTCAAATATTTTTCTGTGATCTGCAGACCATAAAATGTTTGCTTGTTAAAAAACCCCACTCATTTTAACAATAGAAAACAGAGATACATTTGAACCAGCGTCTCAGGTTTGAACACTATCAGACTTCGCTCAAAATCAGGATCTGCTTTTGTATCTTTTACCACTTCCCTTGATCTGAAATAAAGAACTCTTGATGCTTGTGCTTTGCTTTGGAAAATTAAGTTTTCTGCTATTAAAAATAAGATTTTTAGATATTTTATGTTGAATATGGTCTCCAATTGCTCTGTGGCATGCCAATCTTTGGGAAGTTGGTAAGTCAGTAAGAACATTTTTGCATCATATATTGGCAGATTCAATGTAATTCAATTGACTCGTGAAAGATTATTGATTTTTTTTTTTTTGTGATAAAGCAAAAATCTAGGTGTCTCAGTAAAGGTCAAGGGAAGCAAGAGTAATAAAGGAATGAAACTGTTGATTCTAACTTATCTGCAAACATTTGAAACTGATAAAAGCTATTGTAGTTAATGTACAGTGATAGTTAGCCTAAACATTTGACACGTTTTCTTTTTCTTGTTAACAGCTGCTTGCAGTGGAAAATTGGAACAGCACACAGAGAGACGCGGAGTCATCTATAGTCCTTCCTGGCCACTAAACTATCCTCCAGCCGTAAACTGCAGCTGGTATATCCAAGGAGATCGTGGAGACATAATAACAATTAGGTATGATTTGTGATGTTCTGCTCAGATAGTTCTGTTGAAATGAAATGTAAGGCTTATGAGCTATGCCAGCATCAAGTTGTGTCTGAAACAGCTGTTAAAATATAGAACTGCTGTACTAAGAAAGTTGTCTGATGCTTGGTGAAGCATAATGACAGGTCATTGGCACCTCAGTTTCAAAGATATCCTCCATTCTCGCTCAGATATATCTGTCCCACATTACTGTGATATCTGAGCACCTCATAATTTTTTCAGATATTTATTATCATGGTGTTCCATGGATGTATTATCCCTACTTGATAGATTGAGAACTGAAACACTGAAATACTGGTCTGATCACATTGGTTAAGTAATCATCTTTCTATTTTCACTAAATTTATGTAGAAACAGGCAGAAGAGATGAAATTTGGATTAGGCTAGGGCTTGGGTTTAGGGCTGAGCAAGGCTATGGACGTGAGTTTGAAGACAGCAAAATGTTGACCGTTCTTTGCAAGCTAATCTGCTTGTAATGGTAGAAATGGCTGGTTTTGCAGAAAACTGGTATAATCCATTTTAGGCAAAGAAAACAGGATGTCTTTTGTATCCTATTTTATTCATAGGGCCTGTTAATAACCTGTTGGGGATGGGCAGACTACAGCTTACATTGTTAGCAATATGAATTATTTTTTTGGTTATTTCTTTTGGGACACTGGCTACTTTACCAAGTGATAAATATGACTTACAGAACACCAAAATTTCAAACAGTTTCCTTAAGGTACCCTAAATAATTTTCTTGTATTTTGTTTATATCCAGTCCCCTCTTTGTGTGTACAAAAGCTGGCTAATTAATGCAAGAAGTGACACAGATGCAGGCATTCTTTTAAATTTTGTAGGTACATCCTAGAGGCCCATTTTAAAATTGGCTCATAGGGTGCTTAAGATTTTTGCAACAAAACAACCTGTCAGTTTTCTGTAGCATATTAGTCGAATATATTATTGTATACAAATTCTGCCTATTAAATATTTAGCAAAACCAACATATCCTGTTTTATATAGTATTTTGGAAAATAACCAATTATTGTTAAACAAAACGTTAATATTTATGGCAGAGTTTCAGCTCTTTCTGGAAAAGCACAGTTCAGAATAGAAGAGTATAAACAAAATATAAATATAATATTGTATGAAATGGATACTTTGGATTACAGTATTGACATACTGTGAGAGTGCTTAATTTTCTGTGCTAATCACAGTATCCTCTTCAGACCAAGAATTGTTTATTTTAAAAAAACCCACGAAACCGTTTTTGTTTTTAATACTGTTGTGTTTGACACCATCTGCTCAGTCTTAGCTCAGCTGCTTAAAAGGACTGCAAACCTCTTCAACTGCAGATGCTGTGCAATTAAAAACAAATCTGCCACAGATGGAATAATAGGAGGGCTCCTTCTTCCATTGTTCAAAATAGGAACTAATTGTCAAAAGCAAGGAAAGCAGATACTTGCCAATATTTGAGCTCCATAAATAGGTGCACACTTTTAAACTTCATTAAAATCCATTGACATAGGGAGTGTACTTCTAAATGGAAACTGCTGGAAAGTATGGGGAAAAGCATAAATGAAATACAGGACCTTGCTTTTGCTGGTGCATTCCACTTGGGCAGCATATGTTTATTTTATTACTACTACTGCTATTTGTAGTAGTAGCATTAGTATTATTAATAATAACAGTAATAATGTTATTTGCATTCTGGAATCACCTCAAAGCTCCCAATATGCCTTGTCCTCTTGTACAAACACAGATGTGACCAGTAATGAGGAAGAATGGCAAAATACTATAATAGTTGTCAGAGACCAGTGACATGCACAGATATGTAACTTTTAATCTTAAAATTTTATCTACAAAGATATTTAGCTGTAAAGAGTAGAAAGCCTGGGCTAAATTCTGTCCATTACAGCCAGTAGTAGGTATGTAGATGTGTCTAGCTGAGTCGTGGCAGCTGACTGTTTATATAGTTGCATTTCTAACTTAGTGATGCACACCAATCAGACTTGGCACTTTATTAGCATTGATATGTATGACACTACCATAAGGCTATGTTAATTGCTATATTATTCAAATGAGGAGACTGTCTAGCATGGCAATAGCAAAGTCAGAAGCGCAACCCAGGTTTGCAGATTTCCCCCCACCCCGCTCTGGTTAACCATTGAAAGTAGGTTATTGAACTCTGTAAATGAAGTGATACACAGTTACTCGACTAGCTGAGACTTGAATTTTAGAAAGAAAAAATCCCGTGCACTGTATTATGCTATCTCTGTGTCCTTTGATCTTCAGTTCTCACTGTCAGTAAGACAGCCACATTACATAAGTAGTGTATTTGGGATACACCAGAGTCACAAAGGGATAAAATTACAATTGTAAGTAGTTATGGTATAAAAAAATATTGCAGTCTGTGCCAGTTTCTTATAAGCCTACTATTCAGCAGCTTTCAGTAGAACAATGCTCTGTTCTACATGTGGATAAAAGATATGGTCTTTCAAGGGCATCTGCTTTGGACACTTTGTTGTAATATCTATCTTCCATATGTTTGTATCGATTTTCCTCAGCTGCTTACCTTTTCATAGATTTCCCTTCCATAGTTTCCTTGGTTTTTAAACAGTCGCCAGGGACAAGTTCCACAAAGTCAGAAAATAAACATTTTTGTGTAGGCTTTGCCATTAAACAGTTACATTTTTTAAATACTCACTTTTAAACAAGTGGCCCATAGAGGGAATGCAATCAAGATCTAGGGGAAAAAAAGTTTAACTACTGACTGTATAGGGATTTTCTACCATAGTGGTGTCACTGCAAATTCAGACAGCCAGGAGCCATTGTGTTAAGTAAATCAATTATTTTTCCAGCATTTTTTTTTTGTCTGTGACTAACCACCTGCAATCAAAACCTTCCTTTCTTAAAACTAAAGATGTATAAATTCAGGTAAGGACAAATTTATCATAAATATGGTGACTGTCTAAGTCAAGCTTAAATAATTTATTTTCTGTGCCCTTTTCCATGATAGCATTTTTAAAAATCTTGTACATTTACCTCTAGGAATTGTTATATATAGTAACTGATTCTGAAACAGGTTTTAAAAGTTTTCCTTAAGTGCATCCACGCATGTCTGAAATAAGGATCAAGCCCTTCTTGTTTTAACAGTTGCTGTTATTTAATTGCCGTAATTACCCATGACATGATAATAAAGAAGTGTATTTGATTCAGTTAATCTGTAAAGTGCGTATCTACCTTGCCTTCTGCCTGATTGTACTGGAGTTACAAAACTAAGAGTAAAACGTCATTCAAATTCAGGTGAGTGGTGTGGAACTGACCTGTTTATTGCTTCATTAACTGCTCTCCCTGCCTATTAATCGGATGGGTACATTTTTATCTAGTGTCTCTTCAGCAATCCATGTCATTGGTCTCGTGAAAGTTCCTTAACTGTTCTGCCTTGCAATTCCCATTCACACCATCTTGGTGCTGAAAGCTGTTGCTACAATGGGCCCTGTTCCTGCAGACCTTACAGATGTGAATGGTCCTGTGAAGACCAACAAGACTGTTTCATGTCACCTTTGTAGAACAGTTAAGTAATATCCCCTCTTTGCAGAGAGGAAATCTACAAGAGTTGAAAAGCTTGACTTTGAATGCCTTGCAGTGCTATTGGAGTTACAGGTGCTCAGCCTTCAAAAGGTAGGCCTGGGTGTCTTCCTTGAGGTGACGCAGGAAGCCGTTGGTTACAAGGTAGGAGTAGACCAGAATTTCCTGATTTCCAGGCCTTTGCTCTTCAGTAGTTTAAACAGAATTTTTTTAATGAGCCAATTAAGGCATCAACTGTGTTCACAATCTGCCCTTGCTGGGAGAGATTGGCAAACAGGAGTGATTTCTCTCGCTTAATTGGCCTATCTTATGTTGAGCCAATGCTTTACTGAGCCACCCATAATATTTATTCTACGTTATTTTTTTCTTAAATGAGTTTGTAGATGAAGTTAGGTATTTAACTTTGTTCCTCTTTGTGATACATCTTTGTTACATCTGTTAGGCCTTTTTGTTACCATTCCTTTTTCATTTTCCTGCTCATTCCTAGATTTGCTTTACTTTTCCAATTTTAAGTTTGTATTTTTCTAATGCTTTCATCACATAATTGTTCACATTTAAATTACTTCTGGTTTACTCCCTAAGATATGGAGGACTCAATTTATAAGCAGGGATACTGGTTTTCTCTGATTTAAAAAAAAATCCCCAGTTTTCAGTTAAAAAAAGCAACCCCAAATCCACATTTTTCTGTGATTCCAACGAAATACCACTAATACTAGTGGAACACCACTAATATATTAGTGGTGTTTCATTTTAATAATGGAAAAATGTGGATCTGGGGTTAATTTTATTTAACTGAAAATTGGGGATTTTTTTTAAATAAGAGAAAACCAGGATCCCTGCTTATAAGGAATGTTATTTATAAGTACACTTCTATTGCATGTTTCTCATTTAAGTCCAAATGGTAGTAGTGCTCAGAAAAGCATTGGTTTTATAGGGAGTGCATCCATTCATTTTACAGCAGTGAAAATGGATATTGATGTTAAGCTGTTTTAATGCACTCCTTGCTAGCAACCTGTGAAGATTAGAAAGTTAATAAGAAAATGTCATTGTAGGTCACTGCTGCTTCTTCAGAGCAAGTCTTATAAGCAGTATATGTAATAGAGATAATCTTATAATTTACAGTAAGCTTCCTGGTCCCTGTTGTTTTTGAGAAGTAGGCTTTTAGCACTTGGTGAAAAGAAATATGAGAAAATGTACCTGTTTCGTACAAAATGCTATGGAAGAAGAGTTGCTGCTGCATTTTCCATCAGCTTTCATTAGGATTATTTTTGTCCTCAAAAATGGAATGTTCCCAGGATCTAAAAGTTGGGCAAGTTGGGGTTTGGGGTTTTTTTTTTGCTTTGTTTTGTTTTGTTTTGTTTTTAAATAACTGATCCTTGTAGTTATTACAGAATGAGCAG